AAAATAATAGATTTAGATTTTATCAATCCATTGTAATTAAAGGTTAAATGATCTCATTAGACTTAAACGACTTAGTTAATAATATGGATTTATTATATAGAAATGTGTATAATAAAATATTTTACTAAAAGGAAGACTAGAATTATGATTTTTAAACATGTAGGCAATTTCATGCAAAAAGATAATTTGAAACCCAAAAATATATGCAAGAAAACATGTAAGTGGTCGTATTATACATAGGATCTTATACATATATACTTTCGAATACTTTACACTTTAATAAAGACTGGCTTAACAGAAATACCTTTTGTATAAAGAAAACTTTCAAAGACATTTATTTAACTAAAGAAATCCGCTCTGCAGTTGAATTCGATTTTAAATACTTCAATTAATATTCAATTAGAATTAAAGTTGATTACATAGCAATTTTTAGTATTTGTGAGTTTTAAGTATGCCTGTATCAGCCTATCAGAAGCCCACTGCTGAGCAAGGCCTCTGTTGCGGTTGGGATGTCCGAATATTATCGTCGTTTTAGAATGAAACCACAACTTGTTAGGTAATGGCGGCAGAATCACTTGGTTTGTTTGACCACGTGGTCCCTAGTCACTATCTTGAAAGCGCGGTTCTTCTTTGTTCGGGTTCTTCCCTGTTCACTGTTCTTCAAAGCGTATGAGATGTCTTCACGAGATCTGGCTGGTGACTACTGATGATGACTACTGATAACTGATGACTGGTGATGACGACTGATGATGACAACTGACGACTGATGACGACTGACTGACTACTGACGACTGGTGATGACGACTGACTGACTACTGACGACTGGTGATGACGACTGACTGATGACAACTGACTGATGACTACTGATGACTACTGATGACTACTAACTATTCGATTTTTTTTTTTTTTTTTTTTTGTTTTCGAATTGACATATGCTGTTAGCCCTAGTGGCTTTGACAGCGTCACCGAGAGGGGTGGGTGGTCCTGATGGGACCGACCCGATTACTTCGGGCCCGAAGGGCCCGACCAGGGATACGCCCGTCCCAAGGGTGCCTCTAGGAGGCCGGACCTCGGCTTAGGACGTCGTTGTCGTGGAGGTATTAGTGGGTCGATTGAATGCATGACGCCCCCCGACGGCAGAACGCCGGAGTGACGTGTATGAAACGGGACCTCGCCTTCGCCGGCGAAGGCGGTGTGTGTTTCTGATGTCTGGTGTGTTGTTGGGATTATTGTTCGTATTGTCTGTCGTGATCTGGTCGTCAGGGTCTAAGAGGACGTCTTTGGGACGCCTCTTACCTAATTTGGAGTTGGGTGACGGGGAATAATTTGACGCTTGGATTACTAGCGGGTTCGGATGTATTGACGCGGTATCGAAGAATCTCTTTGAGATCATCTTGAAGTGCGCAGCTATCGTAGGAAGTTGGAGGTCCCTATGAAGATCTGAGTTCCTGAGGTACCAGGGTGCGCCTGTGGCTATGCGCATGAATCTGTTTTGCACTACTTGCAGTTTATTAATGGCTGAGGGCCTGACGTGGGCGAAGCATGCGCTTGCGTACGACATAACTGGAAGTATGCAGGTCTTGTAAAGTGTGACCTTATTTCTAAGGGACAGTTTACTTTTACTGCAGATGAGGGGGTATAGGCGACCTATGATGAAGGATGCCCTATTTCTAACAGTTCGAATGTGAGGATTAAAGTTGAAGTATCTATCTAGGGTAACCCCCAGGTATTTGGCTTTTTTTTGCCAAGGAATGGGACTGTCGTATAGTGAAACCGTTCTGTAGGGGATGCCTACTCGATTGCTTCTGGTGAAGATTACTGCATTGCTTTTACCTGGATTAATCTCGATTTTCCATTGGCGAAACCATTCCCCTAGGGTTACGGCTGCTTTCTGGAGTCGAGAGATGGTGAGATCAAGAGATCTTGATGTGGTGTAGACTGCGGTGTCATCCGCGAAGAGGGCGAGATGTGTTGGTCTGTTTGGGACCGGGATGTCGCTCGTGTATATCGAGTAGAGAAACGGAGAGAGGATAGAGCCCTGAGGGACTCCTGCTCTTATGGAGCGGGGAGAGGAGAGGGTGCCTTCAACTCGATAGCGGAAAGAGCGATTCGACAAGTAGGCTCGAATGATGTGCACGAGCCTGTCTGGCAGTTTTAGTGTGAACAGCTTGAATAACAAGCCGTTGTGCCAGACTTTGTCGAATGCTTTCGCCACATCGAAGAAGATTGCACCCGTCATTTGGGGCCGTCTTTTTATAATACCCTTGGTGATATGCTCCGTGAGGCGGTGCAGCGGGTGGACGCTCGAATGCTTGGCTCTGAAGCCGAATTGTTCGTTTGGGAGGATATTTAATTTCTCCACTTCCTGTTTTAGCCGGTTCAAGATGATCCTTTCGTAGATCTTTCCGAGAGTATTGAGCAGACTAATCGGCCGGTAGCTGCTCGGTAGATTTTTCGGTTTCCCTGGCTTCGGGATTCCTATTACTATGGCCTCTTTCCATTGGTCGGGGAACGCGCATCCGCTCAGTAGTGCGTTGAAAACGAGGACCAATAGATAAACTAGTCGCGGCGGTAATAATTTCAGGGCCTTGTTCGTGATGCGATCAGGCCCCGATGCTTTTTTCGCGTGAAAATCGCGGATAATGTTTGTCACTTCCGGAAGTGATGTTTCTTTTAACGCGGCGTCTCGGATTGGTTGATTTAGTTTATGAGCTACGTACTCTTCTACTATTTCGTCGTGACCCGGGTCACAATGTTTAATGCTTAAGGAGCATTGACTCTCAAAACTGTCTGCTAGACACTCGGCCTTCTCTCTGTCGTCGAAAGCGGGTGGTAGGTTCGGTCTAACCAGAGGTGGCATTACCGAGACAGTGTTTCCCTTCAGCGCTCTCTGCAACGACCAGAAAGCCAGGTGCGTTGGAGAGAGCGATGAGAGTTTCCTGTCCCAGCCGTCCTCTCGAAAGGAAGCGAGTTTATCTCTCACTTGCCTTTGGAGATTACGTAGCGTTCTGCGGTTAGAGTCTGTCGGTGCTGCGTCATGGGCTCTAGTGGCGGCATTTTTCTTTCTAATTAAGTCCCTAATTTCGGGAGGCAGTTCGCGGCGATCCCTGTGGGACTCCGTGATCTGTCTCGTCGAGTTGTCTAAGGCTTGGGTGATGTGATTAGTTATTTGAGACATGGCGGTCTTCGCAACTTCTGCTGATTCTATAGTGTCAGGGATTTGGGAAAGATGCGAAGAGTTAGATTCGAGACACTGTTTAAGTAGCTTCCAATCTGTTATGTTTTTAGTGAGGGTTGCCGCGGTTTGGGGGGGTCCTAACTGAATTAAAACTGGTCTGTGGTCTGAGTCTAGCTCGGATAGCGCCTCAATCGAATGCAACTGGAGTGTTACATTCTTCATGAGGGCTATGTCGATCACGCGTCAGGTCTGTTTCGTCTATCGTCATGGAAGGGGTAGCGCGTCGGATTGAGGGGAGCGGTGACTTCTATGTTAAGTTTATCTACTATCCTGTTTAAGTCCCGTCCACTAGCGTTTGTTATTCGGGAGTTCCATCGTGGGTGTTTACAATTGAGGTCCCCGGCCAGAATGACCGAGTTCCCTAGTGAAAGGAGTGACTGAAGGTCGCTCTCCTCTATTGTCTTTGACGGGGATAAATAAACGGATGCTAGTATGATGGGCTGATGGCCTGTCATACCCACCTGACAAATCGATGCTTCTATGTTTTGAAGTTGGGGAGGATCAAGGGGGATGCAATGAAGAGCCCTTCTGTAATATATGACCGTGCCGCCTTTGGCTGAAAGGCGGTCGTTCCTAACGATGTTATAATTCCCAATCCGTGGGTTCCTAGAACTTGGTTTCAAGAAGGTCTCTTGTACTAAAAGTATATCTATCTGGTGCTTAACTAAGAAGTGTTGCATCAGTTCTTTCTGATGAGAGAGGCCGTTCGCGTTGTATGTAGCGACAGTCAGAGAGCGTGGTTTTAGGCGGCTAGTAGCCATTGGTGTTGAATGCTCCTACGGCATTCAACAAGCTCGTATGCTGACATACTGCCAACATGCGTGCCTGCGAATTGCCGTTTGTGGCCCTCAATTTGGCTGCGAAAGTTTGGATTTCCGCGGGGTCAAAGAGGCTTGCGAAGTCACAAACCATTTTTAGATCGGCCTCTAGTCCGGCCGTTGGTGCCTTAGGGGCCTTTGGTGCCTGTGGGGCTTTAGGTGCCTGAGGGGCTGACGGTGCCTGAGGGGCTATCGGTGCCTGAGGGGCTTTAGGTGCCTGAGGGGCAGTCGGTTTAGGTGCGCCTAACGGTCTTTGCCAGGCGTTAGTCGCAGGGAGGGCCGCAGGGATGAGAGCCGGCTCTCGGGCTTTAGTGTACTGCCGCCCAACCTTCGCCCAATGCGGGGTTTTGGGGCATCCGCGATAGCTCGCGGGATGACCCCTCTGTCCGCACAGGACGCAGCTGGGAGGTTCCACCGTAGCCGCCTCCCTAGTACAGTCTGTTGTGGCGTGGTCGCCGAGGCACTTTACGCAGCGCGGGCGTGCGTAACAGAACCTCTGCGAGTGTCCGTAAAGTTGGCAACGGTGACATTGCCCCGGGGCTCCGCGGTTCCGCGGTGGCTCTACTGTCAGTCCGGAAAGCTGACAAACTGATGAGATGTTGAAAATTTTCTTACCCTCCGGGGTAAGTGATAGGTGGACTAGCACCATATCGAACGGGTTTTTATTTGGTCGGTGCATACGATGCACCTCTAACACTGGCAGGTTTTGGGACTTAAGGTCCTCTTTTATTTCCTCAATGGGAATCTCCGCGGGGAGACCCTTGATGACGACTGTTAGCCTACGCTCCTCCGGGAGGGCGTAGGTGTGGTATTCTAGTTTTTGAAGTCTAAGCATCGCGGATAACGCGCGATGGTCATTCGGTGTGGCCGCGGTGACCTTTATTCCCGCCTGAGTATTACGTGCCGACACGTATTTTATTTTTTTATCGTTTAAAAGGCTGGATATGGCGTTCCAGCTCTTATTGGTTCTGATATATAATGGCGGCGGGTATTTTGAATATACTTTGGGTGCGGACCCAGGTAGCCCCGCAGGAGCGGTCGCAGGTGCGCCCGCAGGTGCGGACACAGGTGTGCCCGCAGGTGCGGGCACAGGTGTGCCCGCAGGTGCGCGCGCAGCTGCACCGGCAGCTGCTGGGGTTGACGGTTTCTTAGTTGGCGGCGGCGCCTTTAATGACTTGGCCGCCTTTCTTTTACCTGATTTTGTTATGACTGTTTCAAACCCGTCGTTATCCTCCTCTGCGTCTGAGGAGGACGGCGTTGAATCTGACTCGGCTTCCGAGCCGATTGGTGAGCAATCCATGTCGCATGGATTGCTTTTTGGACAGTCCGGTGAGGCTGGGCTGTCCGTATCGAATGAGGTGGGCTTTACTTCGGGGTTCACATCGGTGAACTCCTTGTACGCTTCGGGGTATTTTTTAATAAAAAAATCTAATAAGGCCTCTAATCGGCCCGAATTATGGTCGCCCATGATGGGCGACGGACTTAGGAGGGAGTCCTCCCTGCAAGGCAGGGAGGTGTGTAACGTATTTGATTCAAGTCTAGACCCTGTTATTAGGTAACAGGGGTGCACCTACTTCCCTAACCACTAACGACTGTGTAAAATACCTTATGAGGGTGGCAGGACAACGGCGACTAAACGACGGTGACTGCTACCCTTTTCCTGATGCTTCTATCGACGCCGGACACGTCGATCTTCTGACCTCTTCTGTAACTTGTTGTCACTTATCACAAACACCATCGGAACACTGATTACGCACGTCTGCGCCGTGCGAATGCCCAACTGAGAGTCACTATTCGACTCACAGCGGCCGTGTTTTATATACGTTGCGCGCGCGCACCTAGTACCGCTGTGAGCCAGCGCGGATGCCCCGCCCCCGCCAAGTGACCCTACCGCCGTTCGTTTATTGGTCAATAGGTTTATCTTAAGTTTGACAATAGTATACTGCGCTTTTGCAAGAGACGCTCATTAGGGATTTTTATTTACACGTGTTGCGCACCTGCAAGAGTCGCTTTCCTTTTATTAATTATACAATACAAATATTAACCTAATTCCTTATTTCTTACATTTCTTATCTCTTAAATCTATTATTAACTAAACATCAGCTGCGTCGCCGACAGCCTCTTTCTCACATGGAGAAGGTTTGAGCATTAATCACCACGCTTGCTCAAGACGGGTTTCCTCACGATGTTTTCCTTCACCGTATGTTAGTGATGTCTAAATACTCTCAGAAAGTACATATGACTCCGAAAAATCACATGAGTTTTAAGTATACTGTTGTATAATCGTTAAATGATAATTTCAAAGGGTCAAATTGATAAAACGACATTTTCATCTCGTCTGCCTGTGATCACAGTTGCTTCAAAGGACTCGAAACGTCGGGAGTATGTTTTAAAATAATAAACCACGCGTAGTAGGTATATGCGAAAATAATAGATTTAGATTTTATCAATCCATTGTAATTAAAGGTTAAATGATCTCATTAGACTTAAACGACTTAGTTAATAATATGGATTTATTATATAGAAATGTGTATAATAAAATATTTTACTAAAAGGAAGACTAGAATTATGATTTTTAAACATGTAGGCAATTTCATGCAAAAAGATAATTTGAAACCCAAAAAATATATGCAAGAAAACATGTAAGTGGTCGTATTATACATAGGATCTTATACATATATACTTTCGAATACTTTACACTTTAATAAAGACTGGCTTAACAGAAATACCTTTTGTATAAAGAAAACTTTCAAAGACATTTATTTAACTAAAGAAATCCGCTCTGCAGTTGAATTCGATTTTAAATACTTCAATTAATATTCAATTAGAATTAAAGTTGATTACATAGCAATTTTTAGTATTTGTGAGTTTTAAGTATGCCTGTATCAGCCTATCAGAAGCCCACTGCTGAGCAAGGCCTCTGTTGCGGTTGGGATGTCCGAATATTATCGTCGTTTTAGAATGAAACCACAACTTGTTAGGTAATGGCGGCAGAATCACTTGGTTTGTTTGACCACGTGGTCCCTAGTCACTATCTTGAAAGCGCGGTTCTTCTTTGTTCGGGTTCTTCCCTGTTCACTGTTCTTCAAAGCGTATGAGATGTCTTCACGAGATCTGGCTGGTGACTACTGATGATGACTACTGATAACTGATGACTGGTGATGACGACTGATGATGACAACTGACGACTGATGACGACTGACTGACTACTGACGACTGGTGATGACGACTGACTGACTACTGACGACTGGTGATGACGACTGACTGATGACAACTGACTGATGACTACTGATGACTACTGATGACTACTAACTATTCGACTCACAGCGGCCGTGTTTTATATACGTTGCGCGCGCGCACCTAGTACCGCTGTGAGCCAGCGCGGATGCCCCGCCCCCGCCAAGTGACCCTACCGCCGTTCGTTTATTGGTCAATAGGTTTATCTTAAGTTTGACAATAGTATACTGCGCTTTTGCAAGAGACGCTCATTAGGGATTTTTATTTACACGTGTTGCGCACCTGCAAGAGTCGCTTTCCTTTTATTAATTATACAATACAAATATTAACCTAATTCCTTATTTCTTACATTTCTTATCTCTTAAATCTATTATTAACTAAACATCAGCTGCGTCGCCGACAGCCTCTTTCTCACATGGAGAAGGTTTGAGCATTAATCACCACGCTTGCTCAAGACGGGTTTCCTCACGATGTTTTCCTTCACCGTATGTTAGTGATGTCTAAATACTCTCAGAAAGTACATATGACTCCGAAAAATCACATGAGTTTTAAGTATACTGTTGTATAATCGTTAAATGATAATTTCAAAGGGTCAAATTGATAAAACGACATTTTCATCTCGTCTGCCTGTGATCACAGTTGCTTCAAAGGACTCGAAACGTCGGGAGTATGTTTTAAAATAATAAACCACGCGTAGTAGGTATATGCGAAAATAATAGATTTAGATTTTATCAATCCATTGTAATTAAAGGTTAAATGATCTCATTAGACTTAAACGACTTAGTTAATAATATGGATTTATTATATAGAAATGTGTATAATAAAATATTTTACTAAAAGGAAGACTAGAATTATGATTTTTAAACATGTAGGCAATTTCATGCAAAAAGATAATTTGAAACCCAAAAATATATGCAAGAAAACATGTAAGTGGTCGTATTATACATAGGATCTTATACATATATACTTTCGAATACTAGTGAATTTACATGCGAAAGTTTTAATTAGACCCAATTTCACTAAATTCAGCGTTGCATTACTTCATTAGTAAGCATATATCCTTAAAAACATATTAACAGCAAGGAGATGCATTATTATGGTCATAATAGTATTTATAGTCAAGGCTCATTACACATGTAATATATATCTAAATTGACTAGGCAATTTAAATTACATATTTTAACTACGAGTACCTCCTCGCCTGTCAATGTAGCACGAACCATTCTGTGATCTGAATTGAAGTTTAAATTCTGTATTACAGCGACATTTTTAAAAAATTTAATGTTATTGGACATGATAAAATCTATTTCATTTTTGTGGACACCGTTGGGAGAAATCCACGTCCATTTCTTTGATTCCTTTTTCTTAAAGAAGCTATTGAGAATACTTAGTTTATTTTGTAAAGCAAACGAAACAAGTCTGGCACCGTTTTTACTTCTTTTACCATATCCATGTTTGCCAATTGTATGTTTTTCTCCTTGGTTACCGCAAATTCCTATCTGACCATTAAAATCTCCCATTACTATAATGTGTTTGTGTGCATTTTGTATCGTTTCTTGTAAATCTCTGTAGAATTTCTCTATTTCTGTTATATCATTTTTGTTACTTGATTCCGTTGGCGAATATGCTTGGATAATGGACCATTTTTCTTCTTTGTTTAGAGGCAGTATTATGTTAAGGATAGTTATTCTTTCAGTGACTCCTTTAATTTCAATAATCTTGTCCGTTAATTCTTTTTTAATTAGGAAAACCACTCCATATTGTCCTGGTGTCTCGCCAATATGGTGTAGAATGTAGTCCCCGTAGTCATATATCGTTTCTCCAAGTCTTCTCATTTCGCTTATTCCTATTATGTCCCATTTTAATTTCGATAAAGCCATTTCAAGCTCTTGGAGTCTCTCCGGTGTCCTTAATGATCGTGTATTAAACGTTATTATATGTATATCTGATGTTTCTTTATTTTTATTTAGAGGGTCTTGGACTAACAATGAACCTCACGAAAACAAAAGTTATGACTAGTTAGTCTCTTATCTTAATAATCTTAATCTTATGTGTCTTCAGAGAGTTCTCTGAAGACACATAAGATTACAGTAAACATGCAAGAAATAGAATACGTAGATGAATATATATACTTAGGACAATTAATATCACCTACAAAAACCATGCAAAAGGAAATAGACAGGAGGATAGCCAATACTTGGAAGAGATACTGGTCACTAAGTGAAGTTATGAAAGATAGGAATATGCCAATCAAAGAAAAAAAAAAGTATACAATATGTGCATTCTACCATGTTTAATGTATGGCTGCCAAACTTGGGCATTAACAGAAAAATTAGAACAAAAAATAAACGTCTGCCAAAATAGTATAGAGAGGAGTGTTATTGGAATCAAGAAGAAAGATAAAGTAAGACTAACTGAAATAAAAAAGAAAACACAATTTACTCAAGCACATTCATTATATCGAACACAGAAATGGAGATGGACAGGGCACATGTTAAGGGAACATCAAGAGAAATGGACGAAAATTGTAACAGAGTGGTACCCGAGAGATGGGAAAAGAAATAAAGGACGACCAGCTGAAAGATGGGAGGACGACTTTAAAAAAGTGGCCCGGTCCAATATGGATCCGGGTAGCTAAGGATAGAGAAAAGTGGAAGTCTTTAGAGGAGGCCTATGTCGAAAGACAAGCTGTTGTTAAAACGAACGTCGATTAAGGCATTTTATTATAAGTAATTTAAGATTAGATTAAGAAATAAGATAATATTATATAATGTAGATATTTAGTAGAAGTAGTTTTGCAATACATACAGCAATAAAGGCTAATTTTATTTATTTTTTACCTCCTCGCGACGCGTCGGTTACTCTACAGCAACTGTTATCACGAGAAAACCGGTTAGTATTTATTGATCGCCTGTCATTACACATACTCGTATTATGTAAAAATTTATATTCATCAATGAGAATTTATAATCACCTTAGGAATATAAATATTTCTTCTTAGTCGCTTTCCCAAATAAGTTATCGTGCTCCTTTTTACTAAAGATTTAATTGTTATATTTTTTCTTCCGTAATGATTTTCAAATCCGAATAAAATGTACTACAATTACATATTTCTATTAACCTACGGATGATGGTCTTTTGTATGAAGGCTTTTAAAATAATGAATTTGTGATCTAGTAACAATTTTTCGACTCCTTAAATATCAAACGAAAGATTATTATACAACTCATATTTAAAACTCGTGGGAGTGATCTTGTGATTTAAATAATAATGTGATTTACGACTGCTGATCTTTTGTAAATCAAATAGGACATAAGTTTTG